TTTCTTCACAGGTGGGTCAGTGGTTAAATGAGAAGACTCATTTTTATCCCTCACTCATCAGATTAGTGAGCTGAAGCCTTGTCATCTACCAGCAACTCACAGCTAACATGAGTAAAAGCTGGAAGCACAAAGCTGGTCTTCAAACTCTGAACCCAGTGCGTTTCTCAATTAGGTATAACTCAGTGTCTATCTACTATGAAAATGTAATGGAGTCAATTTGCTAATGTCCGAATTTGCTGTGGTAGAAAGAAAGGCAGTCATTCATTCAATACATTAACTGATAGGCACTGTTCTTTCTGGGTGCAAAGAGTAAAGCAGTGGATAAAAGAAAACACCGCCGGGTGCCATGGCTCACGCCTGTAATCCCAGCACTTTGGGAGGCCGAGGAGGGCAGATTACGAGGTCAGGAGTTCGAGACCAGACTGGCCAACATGGTAAAACCCCGTCTCTACTAAAAATACAAAAATTATCCGGGCGTGGTAGTGGGTGTTTATAATCCCAGCTACTTGGGAGGCTGAGGCAGGAGAATCGCTTGAAACTGGAAGGCGGAGGTTGCAGTGAGCCGAGATCACACCACTGCACTCCAGCCTGGGCGAAAGAGTGAAACGCAGTTTCAAAAAACAAAACAAAACACCACGACCTCATAGAGCTCACACTGTGGTTGGGAAAGACCACCAACGTAAATGTGTAAAATACGGGGTACATCATAGTGGTAAGTGCTACGGAGAAAAATGAACAAGGATAGCAAGCAAGGACAAGGCGATTTGCAATTTACTTCTTTTAAGCCAAACGGATGCCATTTAAAGAACTGTAACAATAACGCATCTAAAGTAGTTTTCTTCAGCATTTTCCCAAACAGGGAAGATGGTCTGCTGATTCCAATTTGAGATTGGTTGCTCAAACCTCTGAACTGCCAGCTAGAAGCTGTCTGTCACATTAGCAATCCCAATTCTGTACTAACGATGATACCTCGGCCCCCACTCCCGCCCCCCACCGCCAAAGAGCGCAAATGGATTTATAAAACAAATCCAGGAGAAACCAGAAGTTACAAGAGCGCTTGAACTGCTTCTAAGTTAGCACAAATGTCTCCCCAGTTCAAAGGTTAAAGTGCAGCGTTTGTGGTGGTTTTGCTGGGACAAAGCGCTAAGAATACACATCATTTTGCTTTTCCTGACCTGTCAATTGTAGTGATATTCTCTACCATTAGCCTATATTTAACCAGCTTACTGGGCAGTTTCTCCAGTTTTTAGCATTCCCCCCTTCCCTTTTATTAAAACAGCAACCTAGTTTGCAAGAAGGTTGCTAAAAGATAGCCTCCTGCAAGATCTGATATACTTGTATAAGCACTGTCTTATCAACCTTTTAATTAACCTGGTTAGTTGAATTGGCAAATCAGGTTAAGTTTTGCTTTACTAAAGTATTAAAATGCCCTTAGTCGCAAGGCTCTCACGGTCCTCGGGTTGTAACAGCATCCTGAGAATTCGCCACAGTTTACTTCAACGTGTAACTCTTCTTTTAAACAGTTACCAGAAAGGAGCGGAAAAGACACGTTTGGCAAGGAGAAGAATTTCGCCCGGGGGATCTGACTACCAACCCAAGGAGAACTTCGAGAGGGTTTTCTCTGCCAGCACCCCGCGAGGCGCTGTCGGTCCGGCCTCCCAGCGGGCAGGGCGCTCCCGGCCGGGTTGGCGGCGCCGGCCCAGCCCCCGAGCGTGAATTCGGAGGCGACCGGCCGGCGAACTTCAGCTGGGACCGCAGGCCCGGCCAGGGCGAGGGGGCGATTCTTCCCCAGGGCGGCCTCGCCCAGCCCGCAGGTGCGGGTCCCGGCCGGCCCAGGACGGGGTCTGGGGGCTTCCGGGTCTCCGAGGCCGGGCGCCCGCCGGCGCATTGGGAACCGGGAGGGACAGGGCGGGGGATCGCGGCCCGGGTCCGGGGACAACTCCGAGGGGCGCGGGGGTCCCGTGGGGAGCGCGGGCCCGGAAGGCACAGAGGCCGCCCGGGGAACGCGGTCAGCGGGGCCGGGTTCCGGCGCGTGCCGGGAGGGACGCCACGCCAACGGTGACGCGGGGACCCCTGCGCCGGGGACAGGGGACGGGGTCTGGGGGCCACGCCCGGCCCGGCCGCCCCGTCTCCGGCTCCGGGCAGCAACGCCGCACCCGCCCGCCCGCCCGCCCGCCGCGGCCCCCTCCCCACCTGATGTAGGGACTGGCCGCCGCCAGGATGTTCTTCTGCACCGGGATCTCCTCCCCGTCGAGGACCAGGTGCGCGTCGCAGAAGCGGGACTCCTCACGGAAAGAGCTGAGCGCTCGCAGCAGACGCGCGGCGTGCTGAGGGTCAGACACGGCACTGCCCTCAGCCATCGCGGCGCCCGCTCCTCTGTCAGCGGGTCCGGCTCCCGACACCGCCCGGCCGGACCACTAGAGCCGCCGAGTCCCGCGCGCGCGCCCGCCCGGCCCGGCTCTCCGCGCTCTGAACAGAAGCTGGAGACCCCGGAACGCGCCTGTGCCATCAGCGGCGCGCTGGGCCGGCGCCTTTAAGAAGCCGCGTCATGAAGTCATTTCTCCGCGACGCCCCCGCACCGTCGCTCCCCGCCCTCTCGCCCCTGCCGCTGGAGGCAGCCAATCAGAAGCCTCCTTCCTCCGCCCGCGTGACCAGCTCCGCCTGGGTGCAGCGGAAGGTGTAGAGGGATGAGGTAGGTCCCTGCGGCGGTGGAGGGATGTGCGGGCGGGCTAGGATTCTGTGGTTGAGCCTGTGGCCTCTGGGGCCGCGAGTTTGAATCCTGGTTGCAGCTCTTCCACTTACGAGCTGTGTGGCCATGGATAAAGTGCCCATCCTCAGTTTCTCCGTCTGCAAAATGAAAACGACTTTTTAGTGGTGTTGTGGACGCATGAGATGACGCATGGAAGCAAGGGCGCAGTCGCTGTAGCTTCCTTTATTTATGAGAGAAAAGGAGCTGCCCAGGTGAGAGCACAAAGACCCGAGAAAACAGACCCAGAAAAGATGGTTTTGGTTGCGGGCTAGGAAGGAGACGTGGCAAATGAAGCTGGAGAAGTCCGAAGGAGTCCTTAAGTTTTGCAGGGCCTTCTCGGTGTGGGAAGGAGGTTACTTTCTGCAGGGGTGAAGAACCACGCAAGGGTATTTAGCAGAGGGTTTTGTGCAGATCACTCAGCTCCTGCGTGGAGAATAAGGCGGGGATGAATGTGCTAAAGGCGATCGATGTTTAGGTATTACAGGACTTGAGAGAAGGGAATGGGCACCTGGATGAAAGGGTGATGGGAGGTGGACAATGGTGGATTGTTTTAAAAGAAATTATGAGGGAGTGGGAGTCAAGGATAAATATTCTGGTTGAGTAACTGCATGCATGTTTGTACCTTTCAGGGAGAGCTAGGAAATGCTGAAGGGGTGGGCAGTAGAGAAGCAGATGTTTAGATTCAGACAGGCTCCCAACCCAGTGAAGATCAAAGCTGTGACAGAAAGGATCTCTGGGCCAGCTCAGCTGGCAGGCCAAGCCCCACAGTATCTGAAGTTTCCCTGGAGGCTGCTCAGGGCACATGGGAGTGTGGAATGTAGCTACCATTTTGTGCAAACGTTAGGTACTCCATAAGCCTCTAAAAAATTAGCAATTTTGTGAGGACCCCGGACCAGAAGAATGTGGCCAGCATTCCAGTCAAGACAGGATAGGATTTTCACTGAAGCAGCCCAGTCTTTTCCTTCAACCAGCTGAGAAGCTCCAATAAAGTCTTGGGTATTTACCCTGACCAGCCAAGGCTTTGGAGTCACTGGCAGGAATCTGGGTATCTAACTGTTTTCAGAGCAGAAGAATAGATGGGAAGGGAACGGCTGTGGAAGACACATGCATTTCCACTTCCTTCTGTAAATGCAGCGCAGTATTCCCGGATGCAATGATGTCTAGGATTTGCTTCAAAACAAAACAAAGGGATGGGAAGCAGATGGGAGTGTAGATGAGTCAAAAGTGGCCACAAGTTACTAATTGTTAAAGCCACGTAATGGGGATGTGGAGATTCGTCGTACCGTCTCTATATTTTTGTGGATGTTTAATGGGGATGTGGAGATTCATTGTACTGTTTCTATATTTTTGTGGATGTTGAAAAATATTTTTTTTTTTTTTTTTTTTTTTTTGAGATGGAGTCTCGCTCTATTGCCCAGGCTGGAGTGCAGTGGCACAATCTCTGTTCACTACAACCTCTGCCTCCCAGGTTCAAGTGATTCTCCTGCCTCAGCCTCCCAAGTAGCTGGGACTACAGGCGTGTACCACCATGCCTGACTAATTTTTGTATTTTCAGTAGAGATGGGCTTTTACCATGTTGGCCAGGCTGGTCTTGAACTCCTGAGCTTGTGATCTGCTTGCCTCGGTCTCGGCCTCCCAAAGTGCCGGAATTACAGGTGTGAGCCACCACACCCAGCCAAAAAATATATTTAAAAAGGTAAGAAACACACAAGACAAGCAGCTCGGACTTATCTTCTCCATGATACCTGCCCAGGAATGTCAGTTGCCCTGGGAGTCCTGCAATACCTCCCAGGGCAGCTGACATTCCTTTCTCCAAGCAGTTGCTGTATTTTGAACATTGCTCCAGCAAGAAACTTATTGTAATGGGTTTATTTATCCATGTCACCTGCTATACTATGTTTATCGTAGCTCAGCATGATTTCCAGGTGCCAAGCACAGTACTTGGTGTGTAACAGTGCTAACTGAATGTTGGATGGATGGAGGGATTAAAAAAAAAAGAAAAACACCTAAATACCAGACACTTAATAAATGTTTCTTGGGAGGCCAAGGTGGGCAGATCACAAGGTCAGAAGTTCAAGACCAGCCTGGCCAACACAGAAAAACCTCATCTCTCCTAAAAATACAAAATTAGCCAGGCGTGGTGGCGGGCACCTGTAATCCCAGCTGCTCAAGAGGCTGGGGCAGGAGAATCGCTTAAGCCTGGGAGGCAGAGGTTGCAGTGAGCTGATACCGCACCATTCCACTCCAGCCTGGGAGACAGAGCAAGACTCTGTCTCAAAAAAATAAAAAATAAAATAAATAAATGTTTTCTGAACTGTATTATCTGTTGCTTCATAGTTAATTTGTGTTTGCCATTTTTAAGATAAAAAACCAAGGAGAGTTCTCTACACAATGTAGATATTTGATAAGTACTTATTCATTGCTTGATGTGCTAGTCTATTCTTTAAATAACAGAGGTTCCAAAACAAAGAGCTTCAGTAATAGGATCACAGTCAGGTAACCAATTACTGGTTGAGTAACTGCATGCATGTTTGTACCTTTCAGGGAGAGCTAGGAAATGCTGAAGGGGTGGGCAGTAGAGAAGCAGATGTTTAGATTCAGA